CTATTTAGGCCATGACAGGTCGTTCTAACCGTGGAAGAGAACCTCTCAGTTCTCTTAATCAGATAATGGACAGAACAATCACTTCTGTTCGTGATTCATTTGTTATTTAACTAAGAATGTTAATGCATTTGTTAAATCATGATAATGACTGTCACAGGAAAAGTGGAACCACTTCTTTTCTTTTATCGTGCCTTAAAGATTAATAATGGTGTAAGAAAAATACGTGTTCAATAGACTGGTCAAGTCAATATGAAAACCACCACTGTTAAATRAAATGATTTGTAGAAGGAATAAAACCATACAAAACCAGAACTCTGGAACCGAGTGGGGTTTATTGTCACCGGAGCTGACAGGAAACCACACTGGCTAAAAGCCAGGAAGTACATCAATTTATACATGATTCTTCAATGCCTGCGTTCGCCCCCTACTGACCTACGGCTGAATCACAGGCATTCATACAACAGTYTGATCTAATGATATTATTACGTTTTAATTATGCGATGTTTATAATTCGGACATGTAACTAATCTCTATCAATCAAAACATAATAGATTGAACATTATAAAAAGGAAAACCTAAAAATATAGTGTTGTGCTTTTAACATCAGTACTAAATAATTCTAAGAAATATAAATTTCTTCAATGGTATAAAAAAAATCACAGAGAATCTGATTACAATGTTTTCATTGTGTTTTTATGTAAATCACTGTTTTTATTTTACTGTGAACACAGTAATACAATTGTAGATTTTTCCTGAGAAAATATTTCATTTATCTGGACTAACAGAAGGTTCAGAACTGATCATAAAACAGAAATGTTAATTAATCATCATAAATGTTTTGCAGTGATTTCTCTTAGAGTCTATCAGAAGAAAGCTGAAAAGAGGTTATCAAATCACATTGTTGAACAACCACAGAATTTTAACCTTGGGTTGGTGCCGGCTGGCAAATCTTWATCTTTCTTTCTCTGACTCATCTCTAAGCCTGAGGACGGAACCAAAGTTTGTCCATTTCTTTTACTAACCCGGACGGCTTTGAGGGACACACTCTTCTTCCTGATTCCAACCTAGGAAGACAGCTGGGATTCTCTCCGGAGAAACCCCAGTTTTGGCTTAAAGTCAGATCCCATGAGCTAACTAGGGAAGACTTCACAGCCAGGGACCCGGCACGCCTGCCGGTGGTCTCAAGCCGAGGCCGAGCCTCTAAGTTTTTTTTAACTCCCGAGGTGAGGTTTTATTTTGGAAGGAGGAACCGGATACGGCTTGAATTTTTCTGGCTTGGACTGAAACAGACAAAAGTTACCTGTAAAAACACCTGTTCGCCAATGACCGGTAAGCGAGCCGACATCAATTCCCTGACTGATCGGAGGCGAGCCAGCTCCTACCCCGAGGGTGCCTTAAGAAGACATCATCAGGTAAAAGCTGATGTGTTCAGAGTGACTTATCATGTGGAACCTGAGCTTAGAAAAGACATGCAGTTCCGGTTGACCCACACTTTGATAAAAGTAAAAGTCGTAGTAACATACTAATCTTACTTTCCTCCTTTCCTTGTTCTTAATTTGCCAAAACTTAAGCTAAAAGTGCCAGTAAAATTGTTTGGTTGTTAACATCAGAAGTGACGTTTTACTGTTCTATATACAGTTAGTAATCTGAGTTGATGTGAATTGAAATTCAGATGGGTTTTAACTCTGAYGCTTGTTATAGGAATAACCACAATCAAGTGTAACTTATGATCTGTTCAATTTGTGTAAATAAATGATTCCATAGTCTTCAATGAATCAACTTGAACTCGCCTGAATGTTCACTTTTTGTGTCACTTTTCACTTCGCACAGTCAAGATATTAACAAGTAATGAGAAATACCTTGGTAAAAGTTTCCTCATGACCTTGTGTAAGAGAGATGTGGGAAAAGCTTAATTCACCCTAAGCTCACTCTTACACTTTTCTAAAAAAAATCACTTAACTGTATGATGAAAACGTGATCATCCTCAAATATACAATATATATATNTTGTGTATGAGAGATGTGGGAAAAGCTTAATTCACTTTAAGCTCACTCCTACATTGTATACTCACTCCGGATGTGGAGCTCCAGTTTTTGTGAGCAGCGTGAGGACAAAGAACATGAACATGACAAACACTGCCAGTCCCACCCAGAAGCCGATAACGATGGAGTCTGAAAGGTCAGAGAAACAGAAGTCTTATTAATCTGAAGGAATTATTTCCACCATTAACTGAATCTTTGCTCCTCTGTGARTTTAGTGTCTCAGAGGAGCAGCGAAATCCTCCATCAGTGAGTTAAAGTGAGCATTAAATGTGTCTCTAAAATGAAATTAAGCTGCTGTGAGTTCTTTTCCATCACACTTTATGTCCCGTTAAGTGGCGGGATTATTCTCCTGGGAGTGTGGGAAAACTAAAAACCTGAATCAGTGCTGCGTGACATGATGCCGAGGCGCATGGAGCACTAAACGGTGCATGTGCGATGAGTCAGAACAAACAAAGTGCCGCTTACATCTGTGCGCTTTGAGTCCATCAAAAGACACGGGATCTTCGTCCTCATAATATTCGTACTGCCACACGTAGTCACTGCGTCGCGCGCTGATTTGGCTCCGGTTGTGCAAGTCGGACATCTCACACCGATTTGATGCGTTTCAGCAGAGGATGACTGAGATTTATCCAAAAAGCAGCATGAAGTCGGTGCTCAGGAAATCCATCAAGCTGCGTCCGGAGAAGTTCAACATCTTTCTTATTGTTGTTCCTGATTATAGCCAGAGAGGAACACAGAGGGATGCCAGGATGTGAGTTTTCAGCTGGGATTCGATAAAAGAGCGTGGGAATCTGGAGAGAGATCCATCGTCGTGTGCTGTCCGCGCGGCTGCAGCAGCCGTGTGGTGCGCATCATCCAGCTGCTGCGAGGGCACGTCGTGGAAAAAAAACACTGGTGTCCTCTGATCAGTGAGGAGAGGAGGTGTTTGCACCGACAGCAGGAAGCTTCRACAACAAAATCAATGTTCAGAAATATTCAAAAAGCGAATATAAAAGAAAACCTTTTAAGCTGTTTGTTAGAAAAACATCATCAAATGAGCTGATTCCAATTGAACTAACAGAAACAGAGTAGGCTATCAGCAGAGTTGTAAAGTAATTAAGTACAAATACTTCTTTACTGTACTTAAGTAGAATTTTTGGGTATCTGTACTTTACTTGGGTAATTATTTTTCAGCCAACTTTTTACTTCTACTTCTTACATTTTCACACAGTTATCTGTACTTTCTGCTCCTTACATATAAAAAAGGCAAGAAGTCGAAAGTCGTTACTTTTATTTCATTTTTGCTTGTTTTCATTCCAGCTTGTAAAAAAATAAATACTATCAATATAAACTGTGCCTCCTAGATGGAGTGAATTTAACTGTGGTTGAATGAGAAGTATAAATATATAAAACTCTGATACCATATCAGTTTGTACAC